GAACAGTGCAAAAAGAGGGCGGCGTGAATGAAAGCGAGACAGAAAGAGGGAGAAAGAGAGAGAGAGAGGGAGAGGGGGAGAGAGAGAGAGAGAGAAGAGAGAGACAAAAACAGAGAGAGAACGTACAGTCCACGATCCTGAAAATCGATATCGCGAATACCTAAGCGCTTCCGTGTCGACGCTCGTAATTATATGCCGCAAAGCACGATATACCGCGTTGCACGATTCCCATTATTGCCATCACGGGTAGTGTAACTTATTGTTAGCAAACAGAGCACGATGCTTGAGCGTAGATAGAGCGCCGCTGTTGAATGGCGGGACGATCGCGACCGGTGCTTCCAAGTTTAACCCTTTTGATACGCGCATCGCTACATGATGCAGAGATGTAACATCTCTAATTACATATAGTAATCCAAAAAAAAAAAAAAAAAAAAATACAGATTTAGTAAGTTTCGGATTCTGCGACGCGTAAACTTTTTATTTCTCTATTTGTTCTCGTAATAAATTTTGCAGAAATTAAAAATACTTAGAAAATTGAAAAATTAATGTGTTAGAATATGGACAAATTTTTTTTTTTTTAATTTATATTCATGCTATGCTACTGAACGTATACTGAAGTGCAAGGTTACGTTCTACGCCAGAAAGAGATAATAACAATTAATATTACTTAATCGAAGCTGTCGGTAGAATTACTTCTCAATTAAAATTACATCTGTAGATTCTACGATTGGTACTATTTGGCGAGTCTCGTGTCATAAGTAGAGTATGAACATCAATTATCGCATAAGCTTAGAAATCATCGGTACAAGGTAGTTATTATCTCACGGACTTGCAAGGCGCGTTCGCAAACCATGACAAATTTCGTAACGCCATTTAGATAATTATACATAATTACTGCCCACATATACATGTTAATCATTCGCTGAAGTTTCCAACGGTACAATCACTATAACCGGATCTCCTATTTCATTTGCGCGATGTAGATTATATACGAATAAATGAACAACTCGTCCGTCATGATTTCCAATCTCTACGTAATCTCATATTAAGAAAATAATATATAAAATAAATTAATACGTATGTGTAAGAAAATTTTTCTACTGTTCACAAATAATATAAGTCGCATGTATTACGATAGTTTGTTGACAAAGCATAAAATATAATTACTTTAGTATTAATATATCTAAAGAGACTGAAACACGTCCCTTAGGTGTTGCTTATCAAGATGTAACTACTGATAATATAGTTTATTAAATATACAACTGTGTTTTATATATTGTCTCACGGGATTTTAAACGTGATATGTGGCAATGAGTGCACACGTACATATATGTATATGTAACTATAGTTCGCAATTGTATTGAGAAGTATAACGACACCAAAAGTTTCTCTTCAAATTACTTCACGTTCCGATGAATCAATCAAGACCGCCGTGTTTATGAAATATAAAGGTACCGCTCTGCTCATCAGCACAATTATGTAAATATATTCTTGACTTGTTACGTACAGAGACCACGGTACAATATCTTTCTCCTGGAATTGGCGAGAAGATCGCGAACCGTGTTTGGTATACATTGACGTACGCGTTTGACGTTGCAGCAAATAATGCAATTTGCAGCTCTCGCATCGCAACGAATCTTCCGCAACTGTTGCAGCGGTACGATGCGGGCAAAACCCGTATTATTGCCGTCTAGGTGGCAAGCTGCTGCACCTGTGCGGCTTTCGGTGCGTTTTACGTACGTGTCGCTTTTATCGAGCATTATATTTATTTCTATCTTCTCGTTTTGGCGCGAACACGATTACGAGATGCAGCACCGCGCCACTTCTGCAGCCATCGCACATATATCATCCCATTTACGGGGATGCGAACCTGTAATCCGTACAGGATATATGTGTGTTTCCAGAAATCGCATACTTCCTCTCAAATACTGCGCCAAGTTTGTCAATGTTCTCGTAAAAATCTCATACAAAGAAGATTACTTGTTCTAATACAACATGTTTTTAGTTTTAATATTAAGTATCGCTCTATTACACAAAAAAAACAAGTAAACAAGTAAATAAGGTCAGATTCGAGCAAAGGCAGTTGAAACAAATATATATAGTGATCACAATGATGTTAATTAAATGTGCGAAACGTTTCGAGCTCATAAAAGAGTCGCGATCTTATAATCTTCTTCAGTCGCGATCGGATTACTGAAAAAAGTACAATAGATAACGCAGAAGTACAAAGAGAAAATAGATTAAGAAAAAGTTCACATGAAGTTTCTCACAGGACGTGTGCTCCAGTAATAGAAAGACTGGTCATATATTACGTAAAAAACCACACCAGGGTTGTTTATAAGAATTAAAATGTTGATTATTTGTGATGTGAGTCAACATATCAACAATATAGAGTCAACTGCTAAAAAACAATTAAATTTTAATTTTTAAAGATCAAGTCATAAAATATTATCTATTATATTTAAAAAAAATATACGATATACGTAAATAATAATATACGATATACATAATTCCACACTAATCAACTGAAATTGCTTTTGTTTTATACCTAGTTAATTGCAGAAATATTTAAAACTTTATCATTAGTAAAACATATTGTTCGAATGATTTCCGATAAATTCACCGACTAATTTTTGTCGTGCAGAAAGTGGAGAAAAAATTCCGAAAAGAGCAAAACACGAGACTGAATATTCATTGCGTACGGATGCTAAAATCTTAATTACCTTCTATCTAATTTAACTCGACAACTAGCACAAAATACATTTTTATAATGTCATATTGTCCAACGTTTCGTTAACATTAATATCCTCCTATATTTAAAACAGCGTAGTTTATACACGTAACACGTATATTATGTGCATTTTATACACGTAAACGATTGCTATAAACATTTATTTGCATAGTATTTCCGCAAAAGTTTTGATATTATAAGAGATATCATTTAGTTGTATTTTTATGTAACATTGACTTATTAAATATAAGTTATTTTTCTCTGACTTCTTCTTATATATTCTTCTATTATTCTTAGATAATGTTCAAGGCAATATGTTACATAGTTTATCACAGATTTTTTTTATTCATTATTGATTATGTATATGCAAGTCATTTTACAAATTCAAAGTCTCTTAGAGAAATTTCATATCGATACACTACTTCACAAAAAATAAGTTAGCAAAGTTACAGATAAGAAATATAGCTTTTAATTTTAATTAAATATAAAAAAACACTTTTGTAGATACGTTTGTAGTAAAACTATATCTATATAAAATATGTAACATGTTTTTAAAAGAAAATAGATGAATGCGATTAGCGCAACGTTGACAAATTTAACATAATTTGCCGCTAAGATTTGGACAAAAAATTTATATCTAATGTTAATCTAAAGCATAATCTAAAGCAAATCAAAAAACTATTGCAAAACAATATTTATATAAATTTTTTACTTAGTTTTTTATCACACATCGATATTTTTCTGTTATTCTCTCTACTAGCAATTGCAAAGTAATTACGCGGAAATTAAAACAAAATATATCAGTATATTAATAAGCCATTTGCACTCCAAGATATATTCATTTATTCAAAGATGTAAACATTTTTATCTTAATTTATTAACTTGACCTTTAATTATGCATAGACTGAAAACATTAAGCAACGCACCGATTAAGTAAGCAACACACGCGGCGATGCAAACGTGCGTCTTTAATTACTATTCCGTTCAAAGAGTCTACGTGTGCATGTTGATCATCATCGCAAAAGCAACTTGTCATGTTGTCATCAAAGTAAAGATTTTGATGTTGAAAAACAGATTTAAATAATCACGTGTATAAAGAACTAGATTGTGTATGAGAATATCGAAAATAATTGATTAATTTCTCTTTTGAAAATCAATTAATCAATTACTTTGTATATTTTATACAGGTTTTAGGTTTGTTTATATACATATATATGACATTAAAGAATAGTTATATATATTATTTATATATATATATGTACATATATAGATTTTTTATTATTTATTTATTCTTACTTTTTTATAAACAAATAAAATAAAACTTTTTACTCGTTACATATTAATTAATCTACTTTATTATTATTTCTTTTATGTGCTATTTATCCCAAGAGTGATGATCAAAGCAAATTACGAGAAAAAGAAATTTTATCTCTATTTTTGTCGCATACTTAATTCTATAATATGATCCTTTTAATATTGTTTTAACATTAAATATAATTTCTTTCTTGTTTCTTTTGTAATAAGTTTATTCTACTTGTGAAGATTTAACTTTAGTCAAAATGATTCTTAGCGTTAAATGGGCATTAGAATGCGACCCTTTCCTTCAGCGCGTCACGTCTCTTGTGCGACGCGACGGCCGTCGCTGAGTTGGCTCTATACATTTTACTTAACTCTAGTCTGCTTACGAAGAAGGCAGGTGCACCTCTAGGCAATCTCGCTTTTTTCAAGGGAACTCGCGCGAATGTTAATTGTGCGCTATTATTGGCAACGACCGGTCATGGAATTCCGCTTCCTCGAAACCATGATCAGCTCTCATTCCAAGACCTCGGCGCGAATTACGTAAATGCACGCGTACACAAGATTACGCGATGGCATTAATGTGCATTGAATAGAGGATACAAAACTAATTTATCTAACATCAAAAATACCTGTTTCGTTTTATATCAATATATCAATCAATATATACATATATATATACATATATATATAATATATATATATATATACATATATCGATATCAAAATTGATAAGTATATATATTTAGTAATTTTGATATCGATATATTATATATACATTGAAAACATGTGAAAAAATAGATAAATTACATTGAAAAAAAAACATAAATATTCAATGTTACGTAAATCGTGAATTATTAATTTTTGTAATTTGCGCAGCTCGTGTTCTTTACTTATTACAATTGAGATAAAAAATAGTTAAAACTCCGCTTACTGACTGCATAATTGATTATTTAATCATTCAGTGACTTACCTGAGACGCCGACGGATAGGAATATCCGAATTGCGCGTACGCCGACATATCTAGATTTTATTTGCGCGTAACAGTGTAGTTCTTCCTCTTTTGGTCTCCGAATATATGCCAAACCAAAAAGGATCGCGGCACAACCGCACCTGCATGCACTTCACTCTCTCTTTTTTTCTCTATTTTTTTTTTCTCTTTCTCTCACTGAGTTTCTACGCGTGATAACGTTGTGAAAACATACGAAAAACGAAATAGAACGACGAAACGCGACGAACGATCGTCGACTACGATTGCCATCAGGCTGGCCCAGAGTTCTGGTCGGCCCGGATCGGCCTCATGACGCACCTTCTTCTCTAACCACGCGATCATCAACGGACTGTCATCGCGTCGCTTTAGGACTTCGCGCACTTCAATCCCGTTCTTTTGCTTGATATTTCCGAAAGAGAGCACGATTAACGAGATCAGTAGCAGTGACGCGCAATATCAAGGATAACGCTTATTCTCTCTGCGATTCGGAGCAGATTACGGCACGCGACACGACACGTCATGAAAACAGCTGACACGAGACGCAGAACCGAAACGTGATAGCAGTACCGGGACGACGACACCGAGGAAGAACCGGGACGGATATTCGGACAGATAGGCAGACGGCGTGCGAGCGAGCGGTTAGGTATAGAGAGTTCGTTCGTTCGTTCGGTCCGTCCCCTGCTCTCACAGGGCACTCCAGTCTGCGACTGACTCGGCACCACTCACACCACTTCAGCGGGCTCCTCCGCTCCGCTCTGTCACAGCTCCCCCTCTGGCGAGGAAACCCGAAAGCATCGCGTATCCCCACCGCTACTCGTGGGCGGTGACTTGAATAAAACGGGCCTATCGCACGCTCGCTTACTGGTCCGAAGGCGGAGTCCGTGGGATGTTCCGATATTTTTGATTGGTCGTGAACGTTTGGCGCGCGGGCGGTGGTGTTTTTCGACTTGCCCACCGACGTCGCGACGCCTCTCGGCCCCTCTACTTGCCGGAGAATCACCGACGAACGAACGATCTGACGAGCCGCGTCGCGGCGCCCTGCTTCGCCACGGGACGCTGCACGAACGCGGCTGAACAAGGAGAAACGAGTATGTTTACGCGGATCTACTCTTGTCAACCTGACGGCGAAAGGGACTTAAATAAATTTGCGACTGCCTGTTCTACTCTGGTTATATGTTCCGCTCGCGCGCCGCCCTCGCGAGAAGGAGTGGATTTCTTTCGACCCATCGTCGGAACCGCGAGATCGCAAAACGAAGCGCTATCGTGAAGCTCTTCACAAAATGTCAATATAATTGGATCCAAAGTAACTTTATCTTTGTAGTGTCACATATCTTGTACCGTAGAAATATTAGTTTTTTAATTTTGTGTATACAAAAACATTATATATAACATGCAAAAAATTTTTATACACACATCTTTTTGATTAAATTATTATAATAATATTAATATTATAATTTTATTATTAGAGGAGAATTAAATATACGTATATATATGAAAGGTATTTTAGACATAGTATATATATGTGTTTCTGGCGCCATTGCTATAATCCAAACATCTGTTCTGGCTATATTGTTCTCTTCTTAAAAATTTTGCGACCGATAGACGCCGGGAAGATTAGTCGTAGGATTTACTCCCATATCTTTCATCTTGAAATAATTTCACGGATTATTAAGTCGTATCAATGAAAATCACTAATGGCGCACAAAATATTTATCCGATAAATTAGCATAAAAGATTGCTGTTTACTTGTACGCAAGAGAATTCTCGTGTAGAAACCAGATTTAATTATCACTTCCGTTTCAGTTTACACATTGGCTGCAATGTAAAGTTATTAAAATATCAGATCGCATCGCGAGAGAAAATGTTCATTTTAATCAGGTCGTATATAATTATTATTGTCATTATTTATAATAATTTCTATATTAATTTATAATTTATTTTATTTTTTACATATTATTTTTATTAATTGTGTATTTCTCTCATTATTGATAATCACAAAAATACTAAATTCAACAAAGCAAAAATTCTTCGCAAAAAACTTGGTCGAATAAGACGAAAGGTTCGCTTTTTTTAAAAATACGGAACCGTTTGGAAACCGAGAATAAACGAATAAACGATCGGCGGATCGTCAGGGGACAACGAGAAAATGGTAGTAGCGGCACAACAAGATCCACTGTCGCTAATAGGATAAGCTGACAGGTTGACGAGGTCCTTGAGAGATAAACAGTCCTTTCGAAAACTTCGTACCTGTAGTTTAGATTTTAGTGAAGAAACGTGACCCTTCGCATGATTTATTGTTCTGCGCAAACCTGCGTAACCTGGCGATCACGCTTTGAATAACGAACACTGTCGAAGCCATAATGCAAAGTTTAAGAAAACTATGATGAAACATTGAAAATTCTTGAATATATCCCAGAAGAGACTTGACTTTATATTAGTTTCGCGAAGCCAACTTTTTTCAAGTCAGCTGAAAAAGGGATTATACTGAAAGTACAATAATCTGTCTAGTCCTATACTCAAGTCCCCGAAGAGATCGCCCCGTTAGTTTTAGATTATGTTAGTATAGTATTAAAAAGAAAAAAACTTGTCCTATTTTCCCCTGAGATACAGCGCTGACTGCGATCTGATTTTCATCTGTGCTAACACGGAATTTTCACGTAAACACCAAACCTACAATGTTTGCTAACGAACGTACATCAATATTTTGATGTTGCAATGAACAATGCATGAAAATTTATTACGACAAGTTTTACTTGTCTACAATTAAAACTGTGTCAGAACAAATACAAAAGGCAACCATGAATTGTATTGCAGATATGTGTATGTTAGGTAATTTCTATTATTCTACAAAATAAATTTTCCTTCAGAGAGAGAAATTCTATTATTTCATGATATAGAGTGACGTAAAGTAAAAACTATATCATGTTTAATTCATGGTTAGTGAAAGTAGACCTATCTATTGTATATATACAAAATACATAAATTATTTTTGTACATTCTTTCAATTTCAATTCCTTTGTTTAAAACAATTTCTTTTTTTCTGTCTTTATCACGAATTGATAAGATATGTTTATGGGAAAGTGTCCTTATTAAAATTTATAATGATTTTGTGAACATCAGATGACGAGACAATTGTAATTAAACAAAAGAAATAACAACGGTGACAAAACGAAATGCAGCAACAGCTGAATGTGTGCGACGTGAAAATATCTCTCGAATGTTGAATGTCCATTTGTTTCGTTGAACGTAACGTTTATGATTACGGGATGAGAAAAAATGAAACAGCACTCTCGCGATTCGTCATTTTTTAATTGTTACACTTGCTCGATTACGCTGTTATACGTGCGACTCACAGACAGACGCGATAGTACGGAAACGAAAGTCTATTTCTCGCAAACTTTTATACAGCGTGTAATAATCACTTCGCCGAAGTTCCACATTTTCGTGGCGACGTAATTTGTTTCCATTTTAAACCGACTGTACTCAAAGGTGGCAGAAAAAGGTTAATGTTGCCTATTCAGAGTTGATATGCGCATAGCACACGAGATCATTATCAAATCTCTGTATCTACAACTCACGCCCCAAACTGAATAGCGATGTTATAAATCCCGTGTGAAATATCATATGGTCAAACTGCGCAGGGTCGTTTGGTGTTTACAGCCGTCAAGTTTTTCCAGTTCTGATAAGGCCGAAGATTTCTACCAGAAGAAGAAACTGTCGGGCACTATTTCACCGGCCGGTGTGTCCATTACTTGTTCGCAGGTCGAGTAGAAGTTAAACGGCCGTGTCGACTCAGTCCGTCTTTAGCGATAAGACGATGCTTAATAAGGCACCAAACCGTCCGCCTGTCTTTCTCGCTCTCGTTCCTGAAAGGTGTGTATTCCGTTCTTGTTTCATCGTATCGACCTAGTTAGGCGAGCTCGGTCGTATTTTTTCTTCAGTCTCTAACAATCGTTGAGAGATAAAAGTTGAGATAAGTTCTTTACGAAACAGAGAGCAGCTTATTTATTAACGCTAAAATCTTTCGTTATTTCTTACTGTCCTCCCGAATCCATTCATCGAGCTTATTACGTTATGCTGTTATAACACCCCGCTGGGTTTTTATGACTACTTTATGAGATTTCCTCGCCGCAAGTTCTCTATGGTGCGCTCTCCAAAAGCAATCATTAGTTTCTTCACCGCGGCGGAATCATAAAAGCGGGTCTAATTCGAGTGCCGTGGAATGGCGCGATTCACACCGCGGAATAAAACAAAAGGTTGTTACGCGGGTCTCTCTCTAAGGTGAACACGCTAAGGTAGGAATAAGGAAGCTAATAAGGGGAGGTCCAGACCGCACCGGCGCCTTCGGGATACCTTCGAGGGGCACTGCGGTTTTATTGGTCGGAACGTCCTTGTTCCTCATCCGTTTTCTTCTTCTACACCACTTCTGCGCCGGCTTCGTCTTTCTCTTCGGCACACGGTATGGCCGACCAGTATGTTGCCGTAAAAAAAAGCCGGTCCCCCCTTCTTCCAACCCCCTGGTCTGTCCTCCTCCTCACCTTCCCCTTTCTCTCCCCCTCCGTCCTTAGTACGACGAACGAACGACCAACGAAATGTCAACCGTAAACCTCGCGAGGCAACACTAATTAACCCGACCGAAATAAACTGCCGCGCTCAGCGACGCTCCATCTCCATCCCGCTTGTTCACCAGCTCTTTTCTTCTTTCGTTCATTCGAACAGATTCTACGCTCCTCAGTGTTCTCGAGAAAAAAATTCCTATCTCTTGGAGCAATCTTCAATCACACATTCCTGATTCAATTGTAAAAAATTACGATCTGTAAAAAGACAAATCTGTGCCGAAAACTCTGACTCAAAGAATTTCACTTCCCAGATGTCAACATATACACCACATCTCTAATTACATCTGTGATGATGTTTGAATGATGTATAATTTTTGACGTAACAATAAGAGTTAATCTGATTTTTCGCTTATAGTTGAATAACAATCGGAGCACTTGCACTACATCCCATTGAATATATAAATCGTTTGAAACCGATGGAAACGTCGTGTAGTCCACAACGCAACGGGAAGATTTGATCAATCACGACTGGATTTTATCGGCGCCGATCCGTTCCAACTGTGTGACCGCCCGGAGAAATAAATCGAGGCTTTTTTGGGCATAAGAGTAGGAAACATTGCTTTCAGTGCGGACGATAGTACGAAGGGGCAAATCCGGATGACTCTCGTGTTCGCTTTCGTTCTCGCACTCCCGCTTCGAACAGCCCGAATCCGCGGGGTTTCCCCTATACCGCCCGCTGCCAAGCATTTCCATTTTATTCCGCGCACGAAAAAGAGGGATGTCCACCAACCTCCCCCGTACGTTAACGCGAAAAGATACCTACGAAAACGCCCGTGTGCTATTTTCGTTTTAACAGAAAAATCACTTTGATAGAAACTGCAAATACTTCGAAGATCAACGATTATATACCGAACCATTCTCAACAAAATTATTGAACACGCATAAATGTTTAAAATTGTTTCAATTCCAAAGTTTGTCATTTAAGAAAGACGTAATTGACAGAGTAAAACAATCTTCAAGCAGTTTTTAAAACAATGGGCATCAACTAGAGAAGAGTTAAAAAAAAAAAAGGACAAATTTTCACGTCAGTGCAACACGAGGCAACGCTACAAAGGATGCAAACGAGTAATTGCTACAAAAGCGGT